ACGTTGCAAGGCAGCCTTTACACATAAGCCCCATCTCTTCCAATCTAAACTTATCCTTCAATTAAAAAAAAACTTAATCTCTCACCTCTCTGAAAAGGTTTTCCTTGTCCCTATTTCAAAGTTACTTGACTTCTGAGTAAATGGCAGATGAGTCACTGTTCACCTTACTGTTGAAAATTTTCTAGAAATCACGTCTCTTCAGAACCTTAGTAAACCTCGTCTTTAATGCAAAAATGTTCAAAACAAATCCATATTATATTTCCTCATAGTACTTAAGAATCCATACTTTTTCCAACTTTCTTTATCTCCTTGATATTAATTAGAATCTAACCTGTATCGTTCATTAGTGAGCATCTTGGAGGGAAATTTGTGGGCACTAGTGTTCCCATGTATCTGGTGTCCTTGTCATTCTAGATGGAAGTGGTCGTGAGGTTGGAAGGTGCTGTCTAAGGAGCTTTGGTGAATTTCTTCAGTTCATCTTGTAGTTGGTACAGACTGCAGTAACTGAGTGTCAGTCGTGGAGAGAATGGATATTTGCGCATGTGGTGTCATTTAAGTGGGTAGCTTTGACCTGGCTGGCGTCAAGTTTCTTGAGTGATGTGGGAACTGCACTCATCCACACAAGTAGGCGTATTCCATCATACTCCTGACTTGTGCCTTGCAGGTTGTGAACAGGCTTTGTGGAGTCAGGAGGTGAATTACTCTCTGCAGGCTACCTCATCTCTGACCTGCTCTTGTAGCCACTTATATGACCAGTCCAGTTCAGTATCTGGTTAGTGGTAATCTTGGGGATGTTGATAATAGGGTGTAACACCATTGAATGCCAAAGGATGATGCTTAGATTTTCTCCTGTTGGTTATTGACATTACCTGTCATTTGTGTAACATAAACGTTCCATGCCACTTTTCAGCCCAAATTTGGATGTTGTCTGAGTCTTGCTACATTTAAACATGAACTACTGGAACTGAGATGACTGACCTCCAACAACCACAGCCATCTACTTTGTGTCAGATATGACTGCAGCCAACAGAGATTTTTCCCCGATTCCCATTGACTCCAGTTTTGCAAGGATTCCTTGATGCCATGGTCAGGCAAATGCAGTCTTAATGTCAAAGGCTGTGCCCCTCATGTCACCTGTGGAGTTCAGCTGTTTCAGCTGTCCATGTTTGAACGAAGGCTGTAATGAGGTCAGGAGCTGAGTGGTCCTGGCAGAACCAGAATTGGGCATCAATGAAGAGTTAATTGCTAAGCAGGGTCTGCTTGATAACATTGTTGATGGTACCATTACATCACTTCACTCATGATTGGGAGTAGAAATATGGGTTGGTTGAATTTGTCCTGCTTTTGTGTACAGGACATACTTGTTTAATTTTCCACATTGTAGATGCCAGTGGTGTAGCTGTCCTGGAGCATCTAAGTTAGGATTGTGGCATGTTCTGGAGCACGTCTTCAGTACTATTGCTGACTAATGTCAGCCTTTGTAGTATCCAATACCCCCAGCTGTTTCTTGATACCATGTAGAGTGAATTGAGTTAGCTGAGGAATGGCACCAGTGAAGATGGAGATCTCTGGAAGAGGCCAAGATGGATCATCCACTCAGCAATTCTGGCTGAAGATAGTTGCGAATATTTTAGCCTTATCTCTTAATGTACATATAAAAATGTCTGCTGTTAGTGTGGCAAGTTTTTATCCATTTGCACTTCTTTTTATTCTTGTATTTCTTTTATTATCCTCCTTTATTGCTTTTTTTGCACATCTTATTATTTTTATTTTACTCCTTTGTTGCTTTTTGATCAAATCTTGAATTATTGCTAAAACTAATTTGGAAATTACTTATTCATTTATACTTTTTATACCTTTTATTTATTTACTTTATATTCATTTTTGTGTTGTGATATTTCTGGTATAGGAAGCTTAAGCCCAATGTAAAAAAACACATTTTTTTATTTTTCTTTATTTTTGATTGTGGACTAAAGTGAGAAAAGGACAGCAGAGTGAATGGCTGTACCTTTAAAAACAAACCACTAGAACTCATTGTGAAAAGAAGACAAAGAATGGTGGATGCTGGAAATCAGAATCAAAAACAGAAATTATTGGAAAAACTGAGCAGGTCCAGCAGTGTCTGTGGAAAGAAAGCAGAGTTAATGTTTCGGGACACATCCATGTACACCATATCAACACCATTACACTCATTGAATCTTTCTGTTACCTCTTTGAAAAACTCCAGCACTTTAGTTAAGTATGATTTTCCCTTTAGAAATCCATGCTGATTCTTTCTAATAACCCACATTTCTCTATGTAATTGCTGGGCTTATCCTTTTAGGCTTTCTTGAACAAGGCTGTAATGTTTGCAATTTTTCAGTCTTCTGGCAACACCCCTGAGCCTACAGAAGACTGATAGATTGTGGCCAGTGCCACTGTAATTTCCACTCTCTGTTCCTTCAAACTTCTTGTATACGTTTCATCTATTCCCAGTGTCTTGTCAACTTTAAGTCCCCACAGTCTATCCAACACTTCAGCTGTATGAATTTTGAATCCTTCCAGTGAGTGAGTTCCCTCTCTCTTTGGTAAAGACAGATTCCAATTATTCATTTAACACTTCAGTCTTCCCCTGCCTCTAAGTGTAAATCCCTTTTTGGGTCTATTTTCGGCCCCACTGCTCATTTTACCACCCTTTTATTATTTACATGACTATTTGAAAAAAAACTTTGGGACAGCTTTTTATGTTGACTGCCAGCATTTTCTCATTATTCCTCTTAGCTTCTCTTATTTGCTTTTTAATTCCCCTCTGAGCCTTTGAACTTTGGTTCTCAATTTTATTTCCTGCCTGAACTTGACACAAGGACACATTTTTTTTATTTATCTTAATGTCTATCTCCTTTGTCATCCAGGGAGCTCTGTATTTGTTTGTTCAACTTTCCCCATTTGAGGGAATATACATGGACTGTATCCGAACCATCTCCTCTTTGAATGTAGCCCATTGTTCAGTTACTATTTTTCCTGCCAACCTCTTGTTCCAGTCAATCCTGCCTACTTCTTGCCACATTGAAGCCCACTCTCTGTCAAATGATTTCTCTCTCTCTGGATTATTGCATGTCATTCTCCAACACCATCCTAACCCTTATGATGCAATGATCACTGTCTCCTGAAAGTTACCCAAATGCCACTTTATCTTCTTGGCCCATCTCATTTCCAATAACCAGGTCCAGCAGGACATCCTTTCTTATTGGACTGAAAGCATACCACTGTGGGAAGCTGTCCTGCATGCAATCCAGGAACATTTGTGCCTCACTACTCCATTGACTACAAGTATCCCAGTCAATGTATGGGTAATTAATGTTCCCATTATAACTGCAGTATATTGTTGGCATCTCTCTGTAATTTACCTACAGATATGTGGTTCCACATCCATTCAAGTAGCTGGTGGCCTATAGACTACATGCAGCAATGTAATTATGTCCTTTTCGTGCCCTAGTTCTATCCAAATTGATTCTGTGCTTGAACCCTCTTGAGATATCCTCTTTCTCCAATGCTGCAATGCCCTCCTTAAACCAATACTGCTAAACCATCATCCTTTCTTTCTTTTCTGTAAACCATGTGCTCAGGAATATTTAACACCCAGTCTTGCCTTGCCTTGAGCCAGGTGGCTATTACCGCCACAACATCAAAATTCCACATGGCAATCTGCCTGTAACTCCCTGATCTTATTTATTATTGTACTCTATACATTCATTTACATGAACAGTAACCCAGTTTAGGATTCATTTTTATCTTCCTTACTCTTACTTCACTTACTGATTTGCCATTGTCTATGATAGTGCCAGTTGCAATGCTAAGTATTGTGTGAACCCTGATCTCCTCTACTATTCTCCCTTGCTTCCCACACCCCTGTCAAGTTACTTTAATTGGGGAGATAAAACATCATGTCAGCAGGCTGCATGCATTCATCCAGCATGGATTACTTGTTGGTTTGTGTAATTCTGACCACTTGTGGATACCATCAGCTTGCTGATAGTTGATTGTCTGCAGGGCAGGTAAGCAATAGGGTGCTTACAATAGAGGGAGAGAAGACTCCAGACTTTGGAAGAAGTAAGTGCTCTCTCAGTCTCTTTGCAAATGTTGTCTGTAGCTCAAAGACTTTACAATTAGTGTACCAATTACCTTGTCTACTTACAAGCAAGTGTAAAAATCCAGAAACAACAGAAAGTTTCGGTAAGCAAAAGCAACAGCTCATTGAATCCTGTGGTCTAGTACGACTGAACTGTGGTTCCTCGACTTTGTTTTCATCCGCCCATGACACTTTTTTTGAAATTTGTCTCTGTCTGTGTGCATAAGTCTACAGGTTTAAAAGGGTTTAGTGTTTCACCTGTTCGAGTTATATATTGGTAATTCATTGTTTGCTTGTCATTAATATTTCTTTATTTGTATTAAATAGTAGTTCTTGTTAAGTACAGAAACCTGGTCAGTGTTTTGTTAACCTGAGTGTATCCGTCAGTAAGTTGGGGACTTTTGAATACTTTGATTAAATCTTTAACTTTTATGATGACCCTGGGACTAGTGAAACCCGAGTGTCTGCACACTTTCCCATTTGGGTTTGTAACACCTCGAAACTTAATCTTGTGTCTAAGTTAAATGGTACTGCACTCATACTTCTGGTAGTTTTAGTTGAGAATGATATCTTGCCATAGAAGTAGAAGATGCTAATATTAATATGAGTTGTCTACATACTATATTTGGGAGTAAATATTGTTATTAATTTAAATAACACATCAGAAAACTTAGAGCATGGCCTTTACTTTGATGAAATTTAAATCTGAATAAAGGCAGTGTTTATTTAAAACTTCTTTTGAATAGGAATCTCTTTGTATGTAATGCAGCAAAGCCATCTGATACATTTTTTTGTATCACTTTGTTATCATATCAGCCCTTGTTTTTGATGGCCGAAGTAATCCAGCCCATCCCAAACACATTGGTGGCATAGACCCTAACTGTGATGTGATAAAAGTGGTGAAAGGTAGGTCACGTGTTGCGTGAAATCCAGTAACAGAAATGTTCAAGATTAAACTATTTTCAGTATATCCTTATAATAATCAACTGTATTCAAATATAAGTTTACAAGTTGACATACCTTTTATTGAAGGATCTGTAATGATACTGCAAACGTGCTAGTAGTTTAAAGAATTATTGCATGGTCTACAACAAATCCACAAAAAGGAGATCTCATTGAAATTTATATCCTGTCATGCCCTGTAAGAATTTTGCATGTCGATGGGATGTTTCCCTGGCTGATCAGTCTTGGATCAGGGAACATAATCTCGGGGTAAAGGGTATGTCATTTGAGACTGTATTGAGGATATATTTCTTCACTTGAAGGATGGTGAATCTTTGGAATTCTCTACCCCAGAAGTGAATAGAAGCTCAAGCATTGAGCATGTTCAAGACAGAAACTGATAGGTACCTTGATACTGATGAATCAAAGGATATGGAGATACTACACAAAAGTAGCATTAAGGCAGCGATCATCCATGATCTGATTGAATGGTGGAGCAGTCCAGATGACTTGAATAACCAACTTTGTTCTTATGTTTCTACCTTTTAGTCAGAGGATGAACACTGATATTATGCTGCACTGTGTACTGATATTTTGAGATTACCAAATCCGTTTTATCTGATTAAAGGATGTGTATGAATCTGAGGAGAAAACAAGGGTCATAGAGTTATACAGACTCAGTATCTACACTAATTCCACTTCTCAGCATTTGACCCATTGCTTTGGCTGTCATCAACCCTGTTGCAGGTGCTCATCCAAATGCTTTTTAAAGATTCTGGGGTTTCCTGCCTCTACTACCCTCCCATTTAGAACATTCCAGATTACCTCTACTACCCTCAAACTCCCTTTAAACCTTCTGCCCATCACCTTAACTTTATATTCCCTCATTAGTTACCCTTTAACCAAGAAGAACAGCTGGTTCTGCCTTTTCCATGCCTTTCATAATCTTATGGATCTCAATCAGCTCCACCACATTCCCCAAACCTGCCAGCCCAGCCTTCTCTGGTCTAAAGTAATCAACCCAAGCCTATCCAGCCTGTCTTCATAACTAAAATCTCTATTCCAGGCAATATCTTAGTGAATCTCCTCTGCACCCCATAACTAAGTTTGTTTTCCACAAAAGCTCTGCATTACTGTGGGGGCTGAAATTTGTATTTGACAATAGGATAAGAAAACAGGGTTGTTGTAAAACAGGCTAACGATTCATCACCATCCATTTTGTGCTACTTATGATGTCTAGTTCTTCTGGTAAGATGGCGGCAAAGTAGGATGCTTCTTTTTGTATTTTCCTCCCTTCTCTCCCCTCTCTTGGCCTCAGACACCTGGCCCCTGAAAGTGCGGTTGGCAGCCCGGAGTGGGGACACCAGCAATCAGCGACCCAGTGCGGGGACACCAGTGACTAGCGGCCCAGAACAGAGTGTGGCGGCAGCCAGCAGTCAGACCGTGTGGAGGGCCCCTGCGCTGGTCTGCTGTGGAGAGCTCTTGGAGAGAGACTGTGATATTTGTCTATTTAACTTGCTTCTTGTTTTTCTGATTTATGGTTATATTGCGTATAGCTGTAATGTAACTTTTTTTTTCCTTATTTCTCTATTCTGTAACTAAGGATTGTACCTAGGTATTCTGTACCTAAGATGGCACCATGTGTTGGTGACATTGTTATGCTGTAACTAATCTTATAACTGAAGAAGCAGTACCTGGTACCTTTTGTACCTAAAAATGGTGCTGTAAGTGGCAACTTATAAACTTTTCCCTGTACTCATTTGAGTACATGTGACAATAAAGCAAATTTAATTCAATTTAACTCAATTCAGTTCAATTTAATATCACAAGCTGAATTTTCGCACAATTTGGTTAAGTGGGAAAGGGTTTCTTCTTGTGAGCACTAGCAAGTTTTCTTGTGCAATTTAACTCTGCTTGCCTTGTTACCTATGCACCATGCCCTCATGGTGCTGGTCTCAATCTCTTTTGTACTCAGCATCAATGGAAGTGCTTTCCCCTGCTGGGACTTTCTCGGTTTCCTGCAACCAGTGTCATTTTAAGCTGTGTACCAGTTCAAATGTCCCTCGCAGTTGTAAAGTATGAAGAATTTTCCCACCAATGGCCACTAGAGACAAGTTGGCATCCTGCTTTCCTGACAAAGACTTGAAGGTCTTGCTGGATGGAATGTTGGATGGGAAGGCAGTCCTCTTTCCTCAGGTTTGCCAGGGAAGACCATGGCATCAGTCCATGCCAGACTGATCCCAGGTTTCTACCTGGGTCAGTGTGCTGTCCACATTTCCAAGCAACAGAGAATGATCTTCTTCTGCAAAGATAAACGTCACCATTTTCTTTCTGCTACCTTATGCTCTCTCTAACTCTGCCACTGCACACAAATCCCATCAATGTTCACAGTCTAAAACTCCTAATGTTGCATTCAGCATCTTCCCTCAGACATTCTCATCCACCCCATTCCCTCCAGTCTATTAATCCTTCCTGTCCTTTGCTACTCACTCACTAAGGACACCTACATTGGCATCCCACTCAATCACTGACAATGTCTCATTCCAGGTGTAAACAGCATACAGTAAGGCAGAGGGAGCAAAGATGGGTAGTTGGGTATCCACCATTCATCTGTTCATCTGTCCCCTATGATAAGAGAATACTTGCTTTAGTGGAAGAAGACCATGACCAGTCGGGGTGATATTGAGATCTCTGTGTTCTGGCAACCAAGTAAGATACATATTCAAGCGTTGTGCTGTTGTCCCCTAACTACCATCAAATCATAGACTCCCTACAGTGTGGAAGCAGGGCATTGAGACCATTGAGGCCACACGGACTGTCCGAAGAGTATTCCACACAGACCCACCCTCCTATGCTATCCATGAAACCCTGCATTACTCATGGCTACCTAGCCTGCACATCTCGGACACAATGGCAATTTAGCATGGCTAATCCACCTAACCTGCATATCTTTGGTCTGTGGGAGGAATCCAGAACACCCAGAGGAAACCTGTGTAGACATGGGGAGAATTTGCAAACTGCACACAGACTGTCATCTGAGGATGGAATTGAATGCAGGTCCCTGGACCCGTGAGGCAGCAGTACTAACCTCTGAGCCACTGTGCTGCTCTGTCAAAAGTATTTTTAACATGATCAAGCTTCTACTCCTCTGGAGCAACTAACTCCCTCTCATCTTCTGCAGGAATGAGTGCCATCCACACAACCATTACCCTGAAGAGATAGGTCCCTCTGGACATCAACTCCTCCATTTCTGAGGAAGAAGCTACAGAAGTCTCCGAGGAAGCATTGGCAAGACTGTCACTGGCACTGTCAATCAGCTTGCACACTGACAGCTTGGTGGGTATATTAGCTAAACAAAAGATGCAGCACATTCTGGTGAGCATATCAATATCAGGTTGTCACAGTTGACTGAAGAAAAAATGCTCCAGAGTCTGTTCAGAGGACTGCCAGAGACCAGGTTCCTGCTCATCCCCAGGCAGGAGATGACCTCATTGTTTTGGCCATTAATACCTTCATTAAAATGCACAAGCTGATGTAGGAGCAACAGACAGTTTTGTCACAGACATTCAGCAAACTGCGATGAAGGTTGGAGAAGTCCATCAATGGCGTCTATACTTTATTGGCTTCAGATAGTGTATGTCTGGCTACCTCTATGCCTTGAAGAACCAGGTCCTGCATACTTAATGTCTGCCAGATACATGCACAGACCCAAACCCTATTGTTCTGGACACTGGTGCTCAGGAAGGAGACAGGATGGTACCAGTCGGCAACCAGTCAGAAGAGCAGTTCAGTTACAGTCCTCGCAGAAGTCACCTCCGCACTCTACAGGACCCTCTAGCCATAATACCCTCGAGGTCATCCGCCCAAAACTCCAAAGGCAACAGATGTCACTATAGAGCAGGCTTCCTCCAACTCAGCTATGGACTGTGGGAGTTCTATGAAGGACTGTCCTTTTCATTCTCTTTTGCGTAAGGAATGATGTCCCTCAGGATAAACCACCACCAGTCATCTCTCAAATGAGAGAGCAGCCCTGGTCCATTAGGACTATGACAACTTTACCTTAGTGTGAATAGACTGTCAGGTCTAACCATGACCCAACCCTTTACCAGCTAGCAATGACAGACCTAACTGATGAGAAATTAGACCTTTGACTGATGTCTTTGTAGCTCCTCTGACTGACTTAAGTGCTAATACCCAGACTGGTTATACAGGACCTGCAGGACTGACCATGGCTCATTCCCTGGAATGATATAGAATCCCTGATACCGAATGACCATGTCCAAAACCTGGACAGATTTTGGATAATGCCTTTGACTTACTGTGTGGGGCCTACTGTCTGACAACAAACCCCCTTGATTTGACTAAGGAGTACTCTGTTTAGACAATTGGGAGATACGACCATTTCATTGAAGCACATTCAATGTGTTTTAAGTTTTTAAAAAAAGGTAAAGTCACCATAGTCCCAGAGGACTACGCTCTTATCAGAGCCAAACAACTGGTGGTGGTCTAATTTGAGGGTCACCAAGACTCAGGCATGGGGCAAGGTTGAGAAGGTGGGACCTTCATAGTAACATCAGTCAGTATGGGAATTGAACCCACACTGTTAACATCAGTCTGCATTGCAAACCAGCCATCCAAGCTAACCGACCCATTCAATGTATTTACTGTATAAACTGCTGGCATATACAAAAGATGTGACATTAATGCAGCACAGTTCCAAACATCAATATGTCTGACTATTTGACTGATAATTGCTGGCAAATAAGACAGTGTCTGCAGTTAAAAAGCAAAACAAGACAGAAGTAATGTCAATGTTTATGGTTTGACAGAGGTGTAAATGCTCAAAAAGATAAAGTAAGGCAGAGATGCTGTGAGCATCAAATAGTTGCAAAGTGAATGAATACGAAGAAAGCATATTAACAGCCTTGAGATGCACCCCATTCCAATGCATGACATGGGTGTGCAAAGTGGCCTGGCAGCAGCATTATAATTAAACATATTGGTGAATTCCCAATGATGTGGTGAGACTGATTCTTGGCCAATTCCAACTTCTGTGGGTGGAGGGTGTAGGCAGTAGCTGCTAATGGAGTTGCTCTGAGATGCTAGGGACTGCTGGCAAAAATGGAAGCCAGGAGAACATGTCAGCGAGCTGCTGCTGCCAGGTACCCACTTTCATATCATATCAGGAATTGTCACCATCTAGTTTCTTCCACTATCTGCGGAAAATAGCAACCTGCATATAAATGAGGTGAGATTAGGTAATAATGAGACGTTAATACATGCAAATAGGGCCTTCACCACTTACTAGATTCTTATCTAGTTATTAAAATCATATGCGGACAATCGGATTTTTATTCTCAACATCAAAATTCTCATTTTGCCATTCTTACAATATTCTCCCAAATCTCTCACCAGTGCCCAAGTCATTCAGGGCCTGAGGAAATTCTGCCCCCATATCTTTTTCCGTGTCACTAACTTTCAGGATGTTTTAACCCCACTGCCTACATACATCCTGACTGAATCTGCAGAGGATCTCCTTAGCTAAATTCCAATTTTTGCAGTGTTCCATTCAGATTTAACAATAACGCTATTTTTTTTATCTCAGTGTTTGCCAAAATTAAACCACTGCATGAAAAGCAGACATATTATAACTTGTATTAGTTTGCATTATCATCCAGACTTTGCATAATAAAAGCATAATACTGTGAATACTGGAACTCGGAAATAAAAACAGAAAGTGCTGGAGAAACCCAGCAGGTCTGGCAATGTCTCTGGAGGTAGAAACAGAGTTAATGTTTTGAGTCCAAAGACTCTTCTTCGGAAATTAAGGGACCTGAAAAATTATACTTCTAATGCTGCTGACAAAAGAGGGGGTGAGAGTGAAACAGATGGTGAGGGCATCTAGAGGAAAGGGACAGCTAATAGCAATAAAGGAGATACTGAGATGTAGAATATATGTAAATGGTAGGTTTAAATAGGACAAAATAAGGTCAGCTCTGCTCAGAGCAAAACCAACAAGACACAAACAAAATGCACTGGGGACAGGGAGTGGGGAAACATGATTATTGCAATGGAAGACAATGTTCATGCTTTGCTGAATTCAGTGCTGAATCCTGAAGGCTACGAAATGCCTATGGAAAAGGAGATGCTGTTCATCCAGTTTGCATTAAGCTTCATTGGAATATTGCAGCAGGCCTAGAATGAAATGTTGGCATGAGAGCAAGATATTGAAATTGCAAGCACCTGGAAGGTCAGGACCATTCTAAGGGGCTGTTTGTATTCAACTATATTGTAGATATACAGGTAAGTTTTCCAAAGCCATTCTGTTTGTTGTAGTTAACTGATTTTTCTAATGTTGATCTTTAGGCAAATTAAATAAAGAAAGTAAAGTAAATAATTGAATTGTAAATTAATCTGTTCAATCTAAAAATCCTACCCTAATCCTTCGGGAGAAATGTAATACTGAATGTGCATTTTGAAACTTCAATATTCGAAGTGTTGATTTTTTCTATAATATAAAGGATTCCAAATCTATAGTGTAAGCTTAGTTCTGATTTTAAGAAAGTTAATCAAGTCATAAGTAACATGATCTTGTGTTTGGTTGACTCACAGATGCCAGTGAAAGTGCAAAAATGCTTTGTGATCAATATTATTTGACTTCTCCTGAGGTGCTGGTTAATCAATTCAATGGTAAGTTACAGTTGTCATCTTCCTGCTTCATTGTGATATTGCTCTCAAGATAGTCATTTTGTACACCTATTCTAGGATCATCCTCATGGATAGAGAAATTCAGGTTTCTTCTTTTCCAGGATTAATAGCTTCCTCTTACCTATGTTCTCACCACCACCACATCAAATTCCAGGATCCATTGTCTTTAAGATCTACCTATCCACACAACTGCCTTCCTTGTATTTTTCTGCCCTTAACTCCTCCTGTCCCTAATCTGCTACGTCCAGTCATCCTGGGCTCCCATCATTTAACTATTTCCACCATCAACCGTATCTTGCTAGCTGTCTCAAAGCCCATTTCGTCCATAAGATCTGTCCATTCCTTCCTTAGTCTCCTATCTATTCAACTACCATTCACTACCATTTTATAAAAAACAAAAGAACTGCGGATGCTGTAAATCAGGAACAAAAACAAAGTTGCTGGAAAAGCTCAGCAGGTCTGGCAGCATCTGTGGAGGAGAAAACAGAGTTAACGTTTCGGGTCC